AAATAGTTTTGAATATTAAAATAATGTTTTTTTCTTTTTAGTTCCCTGTTGGTCGTATCCATCGTCATCTGAAGAGTCGTACAACATCGCATGGACGCGTGGGTGCCACCGCCGCTGTTTATTCTGCTGCCATTCTGGAATATTTAACAGCAGAAGTAAGTAGTTGAGCACATAAAGAAATAGAATCAAACATTAGTACAGCCCTCCATGTTGTAAGCCACTTCATGTGAAACACAACATGGAAAAATGCTATGCTCTTTGGCTGGCGACTGCTTAGAATCAAATACAGTTTTCCTAGTTTTTCTTTTGGCCGCTGCTGTTGTTGTATATTGTGTATGATGCCTTTACGCGCCAAATGATTTAGTTGTTGTGTGTACGTCGTTTCCTATCTTTTTTCTCTTTTCCTCCTTTTGACACAACAATCCGTTGATGGGCGCAACACAGCAGCATAATTATCACATTGACGACGACGAAGAAGAGTGTGTTTTGTAATGACTATTTTTGTTGTTTTTGTAGTTGTGTATATGTATATATGCTGTACACTGGCTGTTTTATGTTTTCATAGGTTTTGTGTCGGGGTTTGGCCTGACTGCTGCCTGCCTGCTTAACTGACAGATGGTGGTCCCTTGTTTTGTTCTTTCGTTCGTTATGTTTTGTGGCGTCATTTGCCCGCCATTTTTGTATAAATGTTTTGTGTGTGCGTAATTTTTTGTTATACGAGCATAGAGTTGCCAACTTTATTGCGTATGATATTTAGGCGAATTTCAATGTTCGAGGATTTTCAAAATATTTTTAGTCAATAATAATAACAAAATAGTTTTTTTTTTTTGTGTTTCTATTAGAATTTGATTATATAGATAATCGCACTATTATAATTGTACTTGGCTCTTCTAAACCATCTACGCGCTCTTGCCTTTCTTAGCACTAGTCGATGCTGCCAAGAATCTCGTTCTGATTCTCATTAGTTATTAGTTATTCCTGATACCATTCAACATCCCAGTCTTTTTCCTCCAATGGTGATTAATTAAGAAGTCTCTAAAACGCTATTGGGGTAGTTCCTTGTGAACTTTCGAATGAATTGGAGATTCGACAGTCGCCTACCTTCTGTCTTTGTCTAGCTGTTACTGGTACTGGTGATTCATCCATCTTAAGGACGGGAGTCTCAGTATCCGCTTCAACAGCCAACTGCCTGAGTAATCTTGCCGCATCACAACAGGCCATGGAGATTGAGTGCGGGTCCTTAACCTCGCCAGGGTTTACATCCTTAGTCATCAACTGGGAGAACGCACCTTGCTTCGGAGGAGACTTCAGGATCGCAACCGTGTTTGTCACCGTAGTGGTAATCACTGTTGTTGCAATTCGTAGTTTAAATTCGGCTACATAGAATGTGCTGTTGGTGAGGGATTAAGATCAACCATGGCATAGTCTCTTACCATGGCAAGGACTTGGCAGCTAAGCTTGAATAAATTTGTTGAGAGGCCCAGGTATCAACAAGGCTCCATTCTAATAGTCGGGACCCTGACTGCAAACCTTAGAACGCTAATGGGCACGAGGTCGCATGACATAACAGTGTTGGGGGGTCACTTTGAGAGATAGTGACCCAAAACTTTGAGATGGTTATTTTGGGGCGCCATTTTCGCCTCGTCAGCTTAGGGATCATAGGCACTCGGTCATTTCCTCTGAGACTCTCTCCCTGAGCCTGCTAATTGTCCGCGATTGTTTATTTGTTATTCACAGCTACCCAATGAATAGTATTGGGCTTCCCACTATCCGCAACCTGTGGACGCATCCGTTAGCATTCAGCTTTGCTCCCCGAAGGCGGTATATACCTTACATAGGTCAAAGAAAAGATTTTATAAGGTGTTAAATCACTTTATCAGGGCGAGCGTTTTCAGAGATAATACGATTCGGTAAAATTTCCGATAAGTTGCGCCGAAAAGTTGACTTTCATCCAATTTCGAACATAAAAATCGAAAATCTTCTCCAATAATTGTAACTTTTGGTCCAATCTCATTTTCGATAAGGTTGGATCCATCCACCGGACCATAAACAAATCAGGCCTTTAAGATGGAGAGACTTCTTAACCTTAATAATCGGGTTTTCCAAACTCCCGATGACAAATTTTGTTTGTTGACTAAGTTACTGACTGAATGAGTCAGAAGACCCAAGTCTTGATCCAAAATATATTGTAATGGTGTTCGTAGAAAGTGTCAAATTACCAAAACAGACGAGAAATGACATAAAAATTCATAAATTCATAAAAACTTTGGGATATATCAGCAATATTCCTAGTTCTTTATTTTTCCCATCGATTACTTGTCCCAAACACTTAATTTTTTCATCACATTCTGTTTTGCGAGTTTTATGCGGTTTCACGACCTCTAAACGTTTTCCCATTTTTAATAGTGAATTTGTCAAAGAAGAAAACTTCATAAGTGGCAGCTTACAAAATATAGCGAAACCTTTTAAATTTCTATGTTTATACAAATTTTTAACTAATTTTTTCAATTTTTTTACAGGTTTTGGAATTGGCCGGTAATGCATCAAAAGATTTAAAAGTCAAACGTATCACTCCCCGTCATTTGCAATTAGCCATTCGTGGTGATGAAGAATTGGACAGTCTTATCAAAGCAACCATTGCCGGTGGTGGTGTCATACCACACATTCACAAATCTCTGATTGGCAAAAAAGAAGACAACGTACAAGAGCCGCAAAGAAAAAATACCGTTATTTTATCGCAAGGGTATTAATATTTTAATTTTTCATTTACATATATTTTTTTAATTTTTATTTCTATTGCTAATAATTATATAATGATAAAAATAATATAAACCTTACAAAAAAACGTAAAATAATAAATTTTATAAATTCTCCTTTTTTCATTATATTAAAACAAAAGAACACCACACAAACAACAAACAATATAACATACAATAAGCTTTTGTAATTTCAATATATTATATTTGGTTTATATAAAATACAAGTATGCTTTAAATCTGCCATGATTTTTTGAAAAATAGCTGCCCCTTTCGATTCTTATTATTACAAAACCACAAAACAAAATGATTCTCTGTTTCCATTTGTTTTCTTTTTTTCTTAACTTTTTTTCGGCAAAATTATGAAGTTCGTTCTTCTTGATTTAATTATATAAACAAAATATTTAAATGAAACAAAACTGTTTTTACGTTACAAGTAATAAGTAAAATTGCAAAAACAAAAAAGGAAGGAAAACAAATTGTTTAAATAATTAAATTTAAAAAACAAAGAAGATTTACAAATAATCATAAAAACAAATAAAAATTACAAAATTGACTACCTTTAGATAAAAACCTTAAAATGAATTGTTTTATTTGTGTTAAAAAAATGAATTGGTTTCTCTATCTTTTGGTTGTGCGAAAATTATATAAAAAATAAGAAAATGAAAAATATTTAGATGATTTGGGTAGGTAGAATTATATATACAGTCAATATGGTTTATAACTACATATCGGTTAAAGACATGTTATACACAATCACTTTAATTTATATCGCCAGCCAGCCAATTTCGTCGATCTCATCATCGTAATTTTAAGGGATTTTGATTTGGGTGTAGATTTCTTGGTGCGGAAATACATATATACATTTTTTCGCTCTTCTGAACCAGGACTCGCAGCGAATTTCTTCACATTTTCACTTTCCCATTATTCGAATGTAAAATGATCCGCTTTGGGGAAAAATTAGTTATTCTGGATTACAAGGAGTGGGAGAAGGTGATGACATTTTGTGCGAAATTTTTCGCTAATATTTTTTCTTTCGTGTGCATGATTTGAAGGGCAAAATAAAGGAGGAGGAGCATATAAAATAATAGACCACTTTAAGAATGTGGGGGAATAAAATATCGAAATTAAATAAAAAGGCACACAAGTATATAGTGAAATAATAAACTGGGAATTAATTTAATTCAATGATTCAACTTTATTAAATCTGAATTTATTAAAAAAACCTTCTGTTAAATTTCAAATTTCAGGGTTAGGTTTTTTTGGGGAATATGTCTCGATAATATCTGTCGTCTGCGAACCAACTCGAACAAGCTCATAAGCGCTGTTTCATTTGCTATAAGCTAAACGTTCATTTCGTTCCATTTCGTATTTTCAAAAGTATGGGATTGAATTTCGACATCTGTCAAACTAAGCTGTTAGACCAATTTTTTCTTTTAAGTTGAGAGCCTGACATTGAGGAAAATCTATCGGTCAACTATCTAACAACGCTTTCACAATTTCGCAAGAATTTCATTTATCACCTGAAGCCAGAGCAAAGGTAGGGGTACCTCTGTTGACAATTTTCCTGCAAGAATGGAGGAATATTTTGTATTAACGGGTGCCAAGATCAATTCCATCTTGGCGCTATAGCTGCTCTATATCGATGAAGGCTGCCAACGTAAAATTGCAGCTCTTCAAATGGATAGATTCCAGTTAGAAGACATTATTAAAGGTTTCTCCATATCGTGGAAGACTGCTAACGTAAAATTGGAGTATTCAAAATATTTCTCAACCTCTTCGTGTAAGGCTATATTGCCTCAGAGTAGGTGTACTTTGGATTAATTGGTCTACATTATGAAGAAGGACAAATTCGTCATAGCTCACGTTTCTGAGTAATTGCGTGATGATTTTTTTACTGTTAACTCCAAAGTTAGGTTAGGTTGAGAAGAAGTCCAACAAAAGGACATACACTTAAGCCTGTGAGTTGCCTGTTGTGTGCTCAGGAGAAGGATGTAGATTTGGATTCTTCTAGAAATTATGTTTAATTTCAGATATAGATATAGTTCCCATATATATTTTCGTCCGATTTAATGTAAATGATTTAATGATTTAAATTGATTTATATAATTTTGTCCCATTGTAGGAAGCAACTCTATATCTGACCAAATTAAAAATTTGGTGTAGGTTGTTTATGGATCCAATTTCATTTTACTGGTCCTTCAAAAATGTATGTTAGGATTCCTCTCTTGAATATACCCAATGTGGTGAAGGGTATCATATATTCGGACCTGTCGAACTTTACTACTTTCTTCACTGGTTTTAATATTTGTTTTCTGCTATTGCAGGTTATTTTTTGTCTTCAGCCGAATCAAACGAGAAATATTTTTTTAAACATATCCCCTTTCTAATCAGTGTCCTTGTATGTATTTTTGTGGTATAAAGTATAGATTACGAAGACGTGTCGGATTCGTCTAAAATATTTACCATAAATATATCTTCTCATACAGAATTTTCCTCCAGATCATGAGCTCGATTAATAGTAAAAAAAAATTATAATTACAAAAATTATAATTAAAAAAAACAAATTTTTTATATATTAGTTATACAAAAAAGAAATCTACATATAATTATATTTTATTTGAAATAAGTATTACAAAATTTTTGGCATTGAACACGTATGTGTGTATGTTCACAAATCTCATTGATTAGTTGTTTTTTTAATTGTTCTTAGAATACACTGGTCCAACGAAGAATCAGTGGTAGTAGTTGTTGTTTTTGTTGTGATTGTACAACTTCCGTTGTCGCCGCCTGATGGCACAACACTTAACCCAATAAATGAGGCACAGTTTTTTGAATATCATCACAACGTTCATTGAGGTCAGACTGTGATAAGAAAATTCATGGAGAGAGAAAGAGAGAGGATGGAACAGAAACAAAAACAAAAATGTGTTGATTAAACAAAAATCGAAAATAATTAATTTCACATTGATAAACTTACGGGATCCAAGCCAAGACATGCTCCCCATTCCACCAAGGTGATACGATGATCTTTGTTGGGATCACACGATTCCAAGAATGGAGCAATGCAATGTTCCAAACTCATGAGTGGAGCACGAATGGGGAAAAGTTCATGACGGGATACTGAACGATCAGTGTCACCATCCAAATCGCACCATTTCCATACGGCAGCATTGGCCCAACGGCGAGTCATATTCGTTTCAGCTTCCAATTCCATTTGCATATAATGTTCGGTAAGTTCATCACGTTCGGCCAAATCACGCATAACGTTGAACAGCCAATCACGTACACGCCTGGGGAAATCTTTCATTTCTTCTTCGGTACATTCTTTCAATTCGTGGCATTCGCCGTAGTAGTCAATGTGCAAGTGAGTATTTTCGGGATTCAAACAGCCCGGATCTTTGGTGTCACACAAACAACGTTGCTGATAGACGGAGCAATCCGAGGGCCAGGTTTCGTTTTTGTTGGTGCAGACGCGACGGCGAGCATCAATTTCTTCAGGGCATTCGGGGATGCAGATACACTTGGCCGTAACACCTTCCAAATGGCAAACACGACCAGCACCACAGTGCATTTTTTCACAGGGATCGACTGCAAACCACAATGATTGAGTTTTTTTAAATCATATTCCGAATACGGAAATCTAATTTTTTAAATTATACATACTTTCAATGACAGGATTCAAAATGTTGTTGGTATCAGCTGCCAATTTGGAGGCAATTTCATTTTCACGTTCAACATCTTTGTTCTGCAGGGAAGAGGGAGAAATAGATTTTTTGGAACAATTAATTAAATGTTTTCATTTTTTTTTTTAATTGCACAACTCACCAAATTCTTCTCTTCCAACTGCCTCAATAATTCCTCTTCACTTTCGTCCAATTCCAAATTGAGCAATTCCTCCAATAAATCCTCCGTATCCAACTCTTCAACTTCGGCACGGACATGACCAAGGCAGGCCACCAAGCCCAATAATAAGAGCAGAGACCACTTCATGCTTCTGAAATAGAATATTTAATAAACATGAATCGTTTATTGTCAATCTATGTTGGTCTTAAATTGTAATATTGAGCCGACCGAGGAGTATTAGCTGATAAGAGTTGAGAATTGATTCTCATTTTTTTATTTCTGGTGCGTTCTCATTTTCTCTTGGCTTAAGTCTTTGTGATTAGTTCTCCGATGAAATACAAAGTAGTTCTTTAATACAGGGGGCGGAGTAAGAGGATTCTCAGAATTAATATTAGATGACCTTAGCTTGGCACAGAGAATATTTCAAAATTTATTTCAAAATTGATAACACATATTGGAAATTGTTGTTGCTTACTCTTTTTTATTAAATGTGAATGAGAATGGAGATAAACAAATCATTGACTTAAGAACAAAAAAAAAAAAAAAATAATTAAATACGGCTTAGAATGGGGACAAAGAAAAATGTGGACCTTTGAATAGTTATAATTTAATTTTTATAAAGATAATTTTGGGGGGAGAGACTAACACTCTCTTGGTGGTATTGTCTGCAAGCGCGTTTTTAAAATAAATTCGCTGAAATTTGGTACAATGGGTTCTTTTTGAGTACCAAATTTCTTCACTAAAAATTATAAATATAGGTCCATTTTTTCGGGTACGCCCCATATAAAGGCACCCCCAATTTTATGTATTTTGGGGCTCTTAAGCGTTCCCTTAATGTAAATGGTGTTTCAAATTTCCTATATATCTTTCGATTTGCACGAAATTTGGCATTTCGTACTGAATTAAGTCTAGAATGATATAGCTCCCACGAACTCGGTGCACCGAGTGACACGAACTTTTGCACAATGTATCGAATTGAAACTAGAATGACGTTATTGCGTTTTGTTGAAAATTCTGCAGATGCAGACACAGCTTTCATATATATTTCAAACGAGATCAAATTGAGATTAAATTTTGAAGAGTGTAGCCAACCGAATAGCGTGTATCAAGTTTGTTCTAAATCGATTTTCATAGATTGCTCAAAGGAAATGAAATTTAGCAGAGATTCTAGAAAGGCATATGCTATGCTACTTTCCTTACTGGTTTAAAACTGGATTACTTCAGAAAATATATTTATTATTTTAAGACCGGATTTTTTTTA